GTCAAAAATCGGTTCACTTTGTTTTCGTCCACCCTGTGTATACTGAAAACTTTATTGAAAGTCCGGCCGCTTAATGTATCTTACGAAAAGAACTCAGACAAGGACAGAAAGCCACGAATGGCTCAAATAAAATACCGTATGTTCTCTGTATTCCGGAATTAGCTTGGTAACCCGGAGTACCATTATAGCTGCGCTGCTGAGTGTTGCAGCTGCACGGGTTTGCAATTCGACCCAGGTTTCAAGTGACATTTCGCAGCGCCCCGCTCTTGATGCCGGAACACGTTTTTCCGCGAGGATCTTAACACGGGTGAAGGATAATTCCACCGTGTGTACACTTAATTTAACCTGTAGTAGTTTGGGTTGCTTAAAAGTTTTACTCTAAATGTCATCATTAATGTCATGACATCAAAATTACCCAACGTTTAAAGACTTCGAGGAGAACTGAGTTACTTGGTTTGTGAGATGCCGCAGCTTCTGAGGCACACGTGTGGGAACAAGTTTACGGTAATGGTAAAATACTGTTTTAGTAATTTTAATCTGTCTTTCAGTGTTTCGTTAAAGGGACTCCAAGACAAACTCTTGCGTTTAGATTGGGATCAGACGAGAAAACTTTTTTTTTTTCAACGGAGAACGCATCCGGAAATTGTAAAGCATGTCATGCGTGTCTCGCGTTTTCAAGCGCAAAAACTGAAATAATTTTATAAATATGCAGGATTTCCATAGATTCCATGAACAACGAACTAGAACAAGGTTCGTTCTGCAGAAGTTATTCGAACTACTGTGATGAAATGAATGATGAAATGCTACTCTGAAATAATTCTAGAAATATATAGTATTTTTAGATTCCATGAACAACAAGCTAAAGCAATGCTCGTTCTGCAGAAATTATTGAAATTACTGTAATAAAATTAATGCGGTTATAAAATAAAAACTGAAATAATTTTATAAATATACAGGATTTCCGTAAATCCCATGATAACCAAGCTAAAACAAGGCTCGTTCTGCAGAAGTTATTCGAACTACTGAAAGAAAATGAAAATGTGAAATACGTGTAATAATATAAATATACAGTTTTGTATATCCATAGATTCCATGCTAAAATAAGGCTCGTCCTGCAAAATTGTTTCAAACTAATGATGCAGAAATTACGTATACGTGTACATTTTTCAAAGTCGGTTAAAAAAAGGCTTAAAAAGGGCTGAAATAGCATGTATTCTATTTTAATTTTAAATACGGTAGATTGCAGCGTTTCTAGGTCATCTCCCAAGAGCTATAGAATAGTTCGCTTTAAGATCAACTGCGACATTTAATTAAGCGATGCCTTCATGAGCCCCTAAGCAAAGCGCTTCTGCACCACTGTAGCTGACCGGAAGCCATGCAGCCGAGCTCGTCTTTTTAGAATCAAATGGCTTGAGTTAGGCGCGTCATATGCGGATTATGGTCGAATATGGGATGTTACAACGGATAAGGATTCCATCTTTGACACATCTCCGGATTTTATCTAGGCGGCAAACGACGAAGCTTGGTGCCGCCTGATGCTGCATGGCGGTTGATACGGATCTTTATGGCGGACCGCATTCGGAAGAGAAAATAAAAATACAAACACGAAATATGAAATACTCGCCTCCATTTTGATGGACAAAATTTGCGTGTAAATTCG